TTCCTTCCTTCCTTCCTTCCTTCTTTCCTTCCTTCCTTCCTTCCTTCCTTCCTTCCTTCCTCCCTCCCTCCCTCCCTCCCTCCCTCCCTCCGCCGGGGCAAATAACATTTGCTGGATTTGCTTGATATCTAAATGTATTATTTGCAAAAGGCATTTAAATTAGGTCGAGGCACATCCAATTAAGCTCCATGGGACCCTGTGGCTGCCCAGTTCTGCCCTAGGGTACCAAACGTGTAATGGCATCTGAATTCAAGGTTTGATGACCTCGTCTCTGCTCTCCCTCCTCTCCCCCCCCATATTCTTTCTCCCTAGGGAACTGTGCCCATTACCAGAAAGGTGGCTGGTGGTACAATATGTGTGCCCACTCCAATCTCAATGGCATCTGGTACAAGGGCGGTCACTACCGAAGCCGCTATCAGGATGGAGTCTACTGGGCAGAGTTTCGTGGTGGTGCCTACTCCCTCCGCAAGGTGGTAATGATGATCCGGTCAGCGCAAGGCAACTAAGTTCCATTCTTAGCCACAGAAAAGAAGACCAGCCAAATGAAAAATCCAGATGGATGTACTTCAAAAGAGAATTCACTGAACTCTGGATACACACCATGCTTTTTTATTCTCTAGGACTGACCTCAGGGGGAAACAACTTTAACTGTCTGTGCATTGCACTGATTGGCTGGGGGCTTTGTCCTTCACAGACGCACCCGCCCACCCGCTTCTCAAGCCATTTTGCAGCTTTCATAGAATGTGTTGCTTTTATCTTTTGTCAAAAGAAGGTGCTACAGTATCCCAAATAGTACTTCAAACCATTTTTAAAATCCTTGAAATCTGGCAAAAAAAGAAAAACACCTAGTATACTGAGACACCATGTGGCAGAAAGCAATATCGTAGGCTTTCCAGGATCTTTATTCTAAAAATACTTTGGGCTTTTCCCTGCTACAGTTCTCCCCACCCATCCTTGAGTCAACAGAAAATGATACTGACATTTGCTGTCCCTGTTGTTGCCAGCCCTAGTCCCTGCAAGTGACCTCAGTCCCTCCAAGGTAACAAAACTTTTGTTTGACACACCCTGGGGCTGCCCTTGGAAAATGTCAGGGTAAAGGAAAAATATTTTCGTCACCGGTACATCAAATGACAACTTAGATCTGTCTTATTCACAGGCTAGGGATGAGAAGGCAGGGTAGGGGGAAAAAAAGATGTTGTCAGGACACATTTGTCCCATGGGGACACAGCCTTTGGGATGCATCCTTACCCTTGCCCTGGCATTGTGCCAGGGGAAATTCACTTTCCAAGTGGAGCTCTCCGGTCTGGCTCCAACCGGGAGTCTTCCAATGGGAGTGCTGCAATCTCCAACCTGCCTGCATGCCCTACACAGATTTTGACATTGAAGTCGTCTGACCAGAGCAAAAGACTTCTCCCTGCCCAGTTTTTACAGATGGACACTGAGAGCAAAATTGGCCTTCACGCAGCAATTGAGGTTACTTGGGTCACTCTCTTACTTGTGTAAGGGTACCTACATTGTCACCCCAGGATTTATTTTGAAAGGGTGCTTTTGTTAAACCTGCTAGGTCTCTTTTAACAGCTGATGTGGCTCATATGCTATTTCCCCTACTTGTCTAGATACAAATTCTGTTCCAGAGAAAATAAAATCCTGAATATAAAATCCTGCAAATACAAATCCTGCAAATGAAGACAGCTGAATTTATTATGGATAACACTGCCTTTCTCACTTGTTTCTCCCCCCCCCCAACCAAAAGTCTGCACCAAAGAAACCCACCTTCTGCCCTCAGAATAAAGCACACGCATCTTCAGAACTGCTGGATTTAATTCTGAATTCTAGTGAAGTTCTTCCTGATGTGAAAGTCCTTCAACAGGGATTACAAACCCAGTCTTCAGCATCTCTTTAACCCCTCTTAGGTCTTCATTCCATTAAGAGGTTCAATGGCTTAACAACTGTACAAAGAAAGAGAGGGACAGTTCCTTCCAATCGGGTGGGGCAATCACACAGCTGTAGCAGAGCTGCAAAGAGAGGGAACTCTCAGGCAGATCTGTGTATCACCCTGCTATGAACTCACCTCTGTAAGCCATCATCTCAGCTCTTCCCTAGTAAGAATGAGAATAAGGTGAATGTGTAAAGCTATATTGTGCATGTAGTTGAGTCCAGACCATTATGTATTCTTTCCATTTGTACCTTGGAATGACTGGATCTAGGAAAGTGTTTTATACTAGGTCAGACTATTTGGTCATCTAGCATATAGTGTCTATTCTGAGGGAGACGGGCTCCCTAGAGTCTCCTGCAGAGGTCCTATACATTCCCTGGTGCTGCCAGGTGGAAATGCCTGAAAGTGAATCTGGGACATTTGCCTCTTCAAACCAGCTCTCTCTGTTTCTTAAAGAACAGCTGTTGCACTTAGTAATTCCAAAAGAATAGTTGCAGTCAAGATCTTGTTAAGTTTCTCAACATCCCCTCTCAGGTGGTTCTCCCCAAAGTAGGCAATTTCTGATTGATTTTAGACTAATAGTGGGACCTTTGATTGTTGGTGAAACCAGACATTTCCGTAGGAAAAACATTTTAATTTGCATTTTAATACACCAGAGCAAAAAAGATATACTGTGGTCATTATGTGCATTCACAACTGATTAAAAAAATCTGCAGATAGGAAACATAGTAAACGCTTTCCATCTGAAAATCAGGAAGTATGTTCACAATTGTAAGGCACTATATATATTAACTTCCCCCACTCTGATGGCCTCTACAAATGATAAATCTCTAGCTTATATGGAGGAGGATGGTTTATATATGGTAGTAACTAATACTTCAATAGCATTACTATTATTATGCAGGTACTTTGGAGGATAGTTGCTTGCCCTTTTTAACTAAGAAAAATATTTGGACATTGCCTTTCAGTTTTATATTTCAAGAATAAAAACATTTCACAATTAGAATTACTCCCTTCAACAAGTAACGTATTATTTGTAACAGAGATCCTCCAATTCCATGATCTCTAACGTTCTGGTCCCATAAGCCTAAAGTGCAGGTCTATGAGCTTCATGGCGATGACCAGGGGTTCCCCAGTCCCCTCCATATCTTTTTCCTAGTGTCAAATTGGGCTTGGAGCAAATCAATGTACACTCTTCCTGATTAGAACAGGCAGGCTTGGAGCCGAGGAGAATATAAAGTAAGACTCCTCCCCGTGCCACTTCCCCTAATTTGCAACCTTCCATCCATCTCCCACAAGATGGTTGGCATCTCAAGCCTGCAGGGGGCTAATTGCTGCCCTCGCTATCATCCTCCTCATCCTGTTCTTTCAGGTCCTCTAAGATGAGCTCATCAATGTCCGAACATGCCAAGCTGCCTTGGCTTATACAGGTGGCTACTGTGGAACCGGTGCTATCATGCTCTTGGCTGGGACAGATGACTTTCGGCAAGCAATTCTTGATCCGGCTTCGTGGATGGACACAATGGGTTCCAGGAATGTGAGGCTCTGTAAGAAAAGAGGAGAAGACAAGACAATAAGTCTGCTGCCCCTGTGATGAAAGGGGAGGCTCTATTTGTTGAAACATGAACCCCAGCTTAACTTGCTTCCTTACCCTGTCCACTTCCATCTTTTCTAGGTAGCAGCAAGATCCTTTCCAAGGCCCAGTGCTGGCTCAGAGACAGATGCCATAGGATCCCTAACTAGAAGAGTCCTGTGAACCCAACAAAATCATCTACCTCCTGTCTTATTTTTGTATTCATCACCAGAAAGCATTCCATACAAGCCCTGTAGAAGGTGCTGTTTAGATTTTTGATATGGTATTAAATGAAGAAAAATGAAAATCTAGTTTCTACTGCCATTTTTGCTGACAATGCCCGGATGCCATTTAGCAGAGCATCCCGGAAGATAACACACATACTGCCTATCAAACATGGCAGGGACCCTGAAGATTCACGGCATGGTCAATCTCACCTGATCGGTTGTAGCAATCCTCTGCAAAGCAAGAATGCTGCTGTCTGCTTCGGGGTCCTGGGGTCTTACGAGGTGGGATGATAAAGCTTGGGAGCACAGGTGCATGGCAATGGTAGCAGGGAGACGGAGTTCCCATCTGAGCTGATCCTCTGCAGGGGGGAAACAGAAGTTCCTTTATTCAGTTATTTGATTTATATAGCCACCCATCTCACATATGTGACTCTGGGGGCTTACAATAAAACTTTATCACCTGCTCATTCCATCCCCACCCCCATTGCCTGATTTTATTATACTGTATTATACAGTAATTATAATATATTACATTACGTTACATTATATATGTTATATATATTATATTACAGTATATTATATCATATTATGTGTATATAATATTGTATGTTTGTATGTGTATATATATGTATGTATGTATGTGTATATAATATTGTAAGTTTGTTGTGAGACTATCCAGATTCTGCGGAATTGGGCAAGATACAAATTTGCATTGCCAACAGCAAGGAAGACACAAGCTAGCTTCAATTCTATTAGCTTACAATATTAATATTGGACAGTATCACATCCCTTTCTCCTGTTTGATAAGAAATTCTAGAGCTGTTACTACTGGATTTTTTCCTTTGTTTGAGAGAACACTGATACTTAGTGCCTTCATAATGTTTTATGCATTGACAGATATTTTGTTCTATTATTTTATTTTTTCAGCTTACATGGCCATCCAACTCATAGCAACTCTGGGTGGTGTACAAACACATTAAAAATTAATGATGATGATGTTGATAAGGTTTTTATCCTAACCTATCCTATCCTATCCTATCCT